TTCCTCCTGAACTGGGCACCAACAGATGCAATTTATCCACCTCCCAGTCTGTCCAGCTCCCAGTTCACAGCAGGGGAAGCCCAGGAGCACACTCAAACACTCGGTTCTCCTTGCCTACCTCCATCCCACCAAAGCCGGAGTGTAGGGATGGACCTGCACGTGTCACCGTAGGGGCCTGGGCTGCGTCAGCCATCACTTACCTCTTGCGTCCTCTGCAGGTCCATGATGTGGCCTGACAAGGACTGGAGGCAGCGCTCCGGGTTGAAGTGCACGAACCACAGCTGGGACAGGCAGGGTTAAGGAAGGGGTCTTTCCACGCTTCACCCTCCGCAGCCCTCGGCCTCCATGCGGATCGTGGTACAGACCTCGCAGGAAGCGGAGCAAAGGCAGGTGGTGCCCACGGGATGCTCAGGACACAGGAACCGAATAACACATCACAGGGCTAATTTTAAGCCAAGAGAGTCTGGGCTAAGGCAAAACCTCAAGGTAAAGGGGAAGAGAAGAGGGGTGGCGGGGAAGGGGAACATTGCCCCAGAGGATGGCCAGTCCTCCTTGCCCACCTCCTGCACCCTGGCGGGGTGAAAACTGGGGTAACCCAGGGCCATTGCCCATCACTCATCTCAGTGGCCTTACATCTAAATAAACTGGTGGGTCACCTTGACTTAGCTCCCCTAAACTCCTTCCTGCTTTCTTTCCTTTGTTTCTAGGGATTCATTCCATTTATTTTTTACAAAATTTACTGTACTTGGTGCTTGTCTTCAGGACAGAGGCACTGTTTGTGAAGAGTCTACCAAGAGCAACGTGTTGGGGACGTGAGTCCTGCCAGCCTTGAGAGCAGCAGCCCCCAGAAGGCAGCCAAAGGTTCCTGAATCCCCTTGATGATGGCAGTTTGAGTAGATATACAAGGGTTAAAATGGATCTGACATTGGAGCAGACTGAGAAACTGTAAATCCTTGAGTTATTTTCTGCTCTCAGGCAGTTCTGGGACACATAGGTAGAGGTGGAGGTTCCTTGGATTAGACCTCACTTACTGAGGTGCAAAACCATGCTGGTCTGAACAAACGTGTAATTCAGGTTCTTAAGTGTTTCCTCCTCATTCTGCATGACTTCGCCCCTGCCAGCCCCGCCGCAGTATTCCCTGCCCCCTTATCTGACCCTGTGTTTCAGCCTTGGTTCCCTCTCCGTTTCTATTTCATACCTCTCTGTATATATGGGGGGTGTGAGGTCCACCAGCAAATCTGGGAGACCATCTCTCTCACCTTCCTTTAACACTTTCATGCTATCTTAAAACTCTCTTATTTCCCCTAAATCTTTGTCTAGTCCAGAAAAGGTAACTCTAAAAAGCAGCAAATGAGCCTCCCCCTACCTGGTTTCTTCAAGCTGCATTTTTAAAAAGCCATGAAGTTCAGAAGTCCTTGACAGCTACAGACCTGGCTGCCAGGCATGCACCCCGTGAAATCAAGTTCTCTAATGTGCCTGAAGGAGGGAGCCCAGGGCTACAAATCACCCAGAGAGCAGAGGCACTTGGATGCTGTTGGCTTAGTTTGTCTCTGCAAGGCAGAACATGAGGTCCCAGGGACAGGGACTCTGGTTTTCTCTGTGTTGTTTTTTTGTTGGTTTTTTTTTTTCCATAGGCACATTGCTGTCACTCTGCTCATAATAAGAATCATCACTGCCATGTAAGTATAATACACTTTCAGGAATAATTGCCTGCCCAAAGGACTAATCCCACTTCAACTTTTCAGACTCATTATTTCCCATTGCCTTTGGGCCTATCTCAATTCCCACTTATAGGAGAATAAAAAATACCCAATCCCTCATGCTATCCAATAGGAGAAAAAACAAACCCTAGAAATCCCACCCACTGGAAAGCCTCATGGATCATAACAGCAATAAATACCTCCACATCATTAGCTACCCACAAGGGATACAAATGATTCCCTACAGAAAGGATACTTGTAGGATGTTGTGTGGCCCCTCCAGGGCATCTGTAATGCCCAGTATTAAACTGTGTTTGATAAAGATTTCGTTGACAGCTGCCAGCCTCACATCTGTATTCATATTTATCTATTAAAGAATGCAGGAAAAATTAACACGCTCTACAGCAAATCTTGGGCCAGCCTACAGCTACAAACTGCAGCTGGGTAATTCCAAATACCGCGTCTCTGAAAGGAAAGCAGTGACAAGAGCAGTCTGCAGTCAGGCAGAATTGTCACCAGCCATCAGTAATGGCCTAGCCACCGCTCGCGGATGTCTGTGCAGCCACAAATCTCACTAAGGATTATTTCTTTTATAGACAAGATGTCTCTCTTCCTTCCCCAGAAGTCCCCTGGAGGACTCCTTTCCTGAACCTCTGTGCACCTGCACATTTGCCAGGTTTCCCTTTGGAAGAATCACTGCACAGCTGTCATCAGAGGCTTGCTCCAAAATCCATTAAAATCAGTGCAAACACCCCTCTGGATTTTGAATCAAGCCTTTCCAATATTATTCTTCAGATCACTCCTTAGAAATTTCCATACTCCTGTGATTCCTACAAACAAAAGTTGACAACAACCAAGCAGTGGATGCTGCAGGCTGGTTGCCTCTCATGCTAACGTCATCTCCCTGTTTCGTTTTATAATTTTATTGCACCTTCTATGGGTTAGGAGCTGCCTTTTTGTTCTGGACCTGTTGCAAGGTCCAGGGCACCGCAGTGACACAACTAAATGATGCTATTAATGTCTGCACACAGCCGAGACTGCAAGGACCGTTGTCAGAAGCAAGGCAGGAGCCGGCTCTGCTGGCAAGCCCCTGTGGCTTCCCACCAGCCGTGGGAGTGCAAACCGCGCTCTGCAACGGTTGCTTTATCTCCAGCGACAGGAGGTTCTTTAAGCCAGCCTGCCAGGCTTCAACACCTACTCTTTAGACGTTACGACACCTAACTTGGCTGTAAAACATCCCTTGCCTGAACCTGATCTCTGAGCCTGCTGTAAAAATATTCCTTCCTCTCCGGATAATTATGTCCTTCATATGCATCTAGGAGATGACCTGGGTCCCAGCACTTTGGTGGGAGGGAGTCCTGCTCCCCACACACTGCGTGCCCACGCACAAGCAGCCTCCTCTCACCTTCCTCTGGCGGCAGTCGATAACCAGTATCACCACTACAGTGGCTGCTACGGCAGCCAGGGTCACCAGCACGCTGGCCTCCCAGTAGCGTCCGAAGGAACACAGCTGGACTGTGGAGTAAATGTTTGTCCAGAGAGACATGTAGAAAATCTATAAAAACCCAGAAAGACTGATGATACTCACAAAACTATGAAAGTGAGAAAAGTCAAGGGAAGGAGAAAACCAGCGGTCCCTTCTGCCAGGGTAATACCTTACCATAAATTAAGTCACACGGGATTTTCAGAGGGTGAGGAAGGACAAAAGTTCTTTCCAATAATAAATAGGGGAAAGAAAGAACTAGAAGGACTGAGTGAGCCCTAGTTTATTATAAAAAATTACTGGTCATCAAAGACAGAGAGTGAATTATTAATGGTGATTAATACCTAGGAAGGATTTCAACCGAGTTCCTCCATTTAGATAAGAAATGCACTCACTGAGGCATATTGATAATACTTCTCATAGTCCCTGTATTTAGAAAGCTCCTGTGTCAAAGCACTCAAGGTGGTGCAGAGACTACTCAATTACAATAATGCTCAAATGGTAGACACTGGCACTGGGCTCAAGGACTATGTTAAGGACTGGCAAACTTGGCCTTTGCATAAAGACAGGCAAAACTGGATTCATTTGGCCTTTACTTCAGATAGCATGCATTTGGGCAGGAGATTGCCTAGAAGCAAATATGACGTGTACCACACAGCGTGCCATAGCATCATCTGGCAATAATATAACTCACTTGCACTAAACGGGCACCAAAACCCTCAAAACACTGAGCACCAATTCCTACAGTATTAGTGAAAGGAGGAGAAGACATGTATAACAGCTATACAAAAAAAGAAATGCAACTAAAACAAAGGAGTCAGATTTTATCACACCCTCAGCACACTGCAAACTATGACCCTTACAGTAGATGCTAATTGTCGGGGTCTCTGTAGGAGCTTCTCTCACCCGAAGAGGATGAGCAAGACTAGACAATCACCTCAGTAACCAAAGTTGACTGGTCCATTGGTCTAAATTAGCATCAGGACCAGAATATATACAGATTTTTAAAATCAAGTTAAAAAAAAGTCTGCTGTAGGTACTACTACCTCAGCATATGCTGGTTATCCAGCCATGGACAGCCTGCTTCGGTGGGGCGACCAGCAAGAGGTTGGAGAAGGTGCCTTGCCCTCCATCTACAGAAATTCTGTGAACTGAGATTTCCAGAGGAGCCCACTAGGATGTGTGAAAAACAGTATCTCCTCCCCACCCAAACCTCTCTCCCTCCCTGGGCACAAGAACCCCAGGTGTACGTCCTGAAGCATCTCAGCAAGTGCATGTCTATGGCAAGCCTGTGAGAGACCCCACTGTCCTTACCACAGCGATGGCTATCTGGAACGCTCTGGAGTTGTAGAACATGTACCGTCTCACTTCAGGCTTCAGGACAGCATCCTGGATTAACCTTCTCCACTGATCCGCTGCCACCTGCTCAAGGAGCAAACAGAAAACACGAGTCACCCTCCAGTTTCAAGCTCCTAGTCCCATCAGAACTAGCTTGGGCAGTCATCGTGGGACCAGGCCAGCGCTGCAAATGAAAGCTGTGTCCCAGAGCACCCTCCCACAGAGCACACTTCCAATCTCATCCATACAGCTGTCACAGACCAAAAACTTGTGTTCTTGCCTCATTTGCAGTGAGTAATATCTCCCTGGAAAGTGCAGGGAAAGTCACAAGAGAAAAACACCTTTTTATGACAAAGGACAAGACAAGACAGATTGTCCCAGGGATGCTCCGTCCCATCAGAGTGACTTTCAAGCAATTCACTAGAACCTATGTTGAATGGGTTTCTTAATGGAGGTTTAAGCCAAGATCATTACGGTTGACTTGCAGTCCATGGGGAATAGACTGAAGTTGAACTGAAACAAGTGACTCTCAAACCAAAAGAAAGAAAACCTGTCTGTGATGTGGGTGCAAATGCAAATGATGCTAATCCAGCTAGCATTCACTCCTACAGGGTCCCCAGGGGAGATAAGCATGAGGAGCTTACCTGAACCCCAAGGGACTTCAGTTTCTCTGCACAAAGCTCCATGTCAAAGGAGATGGCTGAGCAGTTGTCCATGCTGAGCACCATGAGCACCTGGCCATCGAGGGGTTCTGCAAGAGCCCAAAGGAGTCATGAGCACGGCTCTGGCATGGGTTTTTCTCCGAGCAGCTAAGGAGCACGTGGCAAAGGGAAGGCTGAGGAATGCAGGCCACCCTGATGTGTTTTAAATGGATCCAGAATGCCCCTTTGGACATTTCTAAGAATATCACAAGGAGCTTTGGAAGCAGCCTGATGTCCCCTGTAAGGAAACAACCTACAAAAAGGGAGGAAATCCCAATCACATTCCAGGAGTGAGCAGTCCGAGATAACATGATGCTCTGATTTTACTCACTGATCCTTAACTGAAAGGACAACAGACTCAAGCTGCTTGGTGTTGCTAAGGCTATCTACCTCTTAGAGAGATCCCCCATTGCCTACCCACCCTCACCACAAGAAAAAGCTTGTGCAATCGAATTAAAGTGCTTTCTAACAATCACATTGTCTGGGATGTGGCAGGGCTGCCCTGGAGCGTGAGTCCCATAGGTCCTCCAGCATCCAGGTCCCCACCCCAGCAGTGCTCCTGGACTGCATGGCTCTGCTCAAGGCTCTCAGCTTCCCAGTTTCAGCTAGGGCTATGATCAGAAATGTAATCTAGAGACCCAAGTTGCAGTCAGAAGCCCAGAAAGCATGAGGACAGCCTGTCCTAGATTTGAGGAGCAGGCTGCTCAGAGCTGAGGCAGAGCAGCCTTGGAGCAGCACAGGAGAGCTGTGAACTCCTGGCATTCCATCTGGCATTTATCTAGAGTTTACACAAGCTGTGCTATGTCAAGAGGAAGAGATCAGGTCTAAGGAAGTGGCTTGTTCAGATGAGATCCTGTTTCACTGAAACGTTTCACCCAGCTTTCCTTCCCCTTTGCAGATTTGGGGTCAGCCAGGTGTCCCCTGGGGCTGCTCCTGCTGACACTGCCCCTTAGCGCTCTCCCAGACTGCTGTGCTGGCTGAAAAGCAGCGTGCACTCACCTTTCCCTCCTCTCCCACTTACGTCCTCCATCCTCATCATCTCTTCACTGCTCAGGAACAGGGGATGCCAAGTGAAACGAGGAAATTACGTTACAATAGGGCGTGACTGCATCAAGTCAAAAAGGGAAGAGTAGATGCATCTGAAACCTCCAGGTTAACAACGTCGTGTTTGTTTGCTGAGGTTTATCTCCTCCTGACACAGAGCAGTGGAGGCGGTGAGTATAAAGCAAGAATAAAAACAAATGGCCTCAGCTCTCCTGTTCTCCATGGCGTTGGTCAAGTTGCTCAGCACGAAGTCTAGCAAGTTGGGTGCCAAGGTGAGGTATCCGAGATTTGCTCAGCTCCTTGAGCTCTGCTAGATCCTGCTGGAGTGGCAAGAGCCGCTTTGCCCCTGCAAAAACTGAGTGCTAAGGAGATGCCATGAACTGAGCAAGCAAAAAGGGTGCCCTGCTG